GTAAGCAATATCTGTGGAAGAGCAGATATAAATATAAAATATAAGCGTGGACACTGAAGTCATCACCAAGTAGTGGTAATTTGTTTCATTCTTGAACGACCTTAACGGCCTGAAGATTGCGTTCAAACACGAAACATACTGTCAGCTCTTGATGTTGACTTCAGTGTCCCCTTATGTATGCATCATCATCACCATCATCAGCCCTTTTGACTTTTGCAATCGTAGGGCGGATCCGAATGCAGAAGCCACACTAACGCTTTTCCACAACGGCCTATCAACGGCAGCTATCAGCTGTTCTTGTACAGTCATACCTGTCCATTTTTTGACATTTTCCAACCAGTTTTTGCTTTGGCGTCTTCTCCTATGTCCACTTTTAACGGTGCCTTGCATGATGATCTGTCGTGCCTTTAACGTGTCCAAACCACGCCATTTTTCTCCGTTTGAAAGTGGAGAGAAGAGAATCCTGGTGTCCGACAAAATTTTAACGCTTTTCCGCGCTGAATTCGTGTTATTTTTCCAGTAAAAAAAAATGCCAAGTAGTTTCTCATGCATTTGGATCCTCCTCTGTGTATCTACCCACAGTGTCCACATTTCAAATCCATATAGGAGAATGGAGACTACCAGCAATTTGTACAGTCTGTACTTTGTTTGAAAGTTGATTTTGCTCCGCTATATTCTTGTCAATTTGACCATCGCTGCCATGGCTGCGACAATCCTTGTGTGGATTTCCGAATTTGTAGTTACTATCTTTAGACAAGATAGTTCTTATGTATTTAAAACCGAACACTTCCTCCAGTGAATTCTCGATCATGGTTACGTTGACACAATTGTTACTGCTTGCCCTATTCTACATTACTTTGGAATTCTCATAGCCGAGCTCCATTCAATATACTCCTGCTCTTTCAAAAACATTGATTGGTCAAGTCCTGCAGCACACTGCTACTACCTATTATATCAAAAATAAGGCCAAAAGTAGGATTAGACTTATTAGGTATGCAGTTTAATTTTTTGAAAAATATATTACATTTATATTCACCTGTTACGATCATATTTGTTAAAACCTATTCATGGACATTTGTTTAACACTTTACTTACATTTTTAGCACAGTTTAATCACTTAAAGTGCTCAAAATGTCCTCTTTCAACATTTCAAAATTCCTCGAACCTCTCCAGAACAAATATACATATATATATATGACATACAACACTACAAAGATCCCGATCTGCCTCAATTTCAATCAATACTTCGTTTAATTCGTTCACTGTGTAAGAATTCCTCTCATAAACCTAGTTCTTCACTGCACATCCCCAAAAAGAACTCATTTGCTCTTAGGTCAGGTGACCATGATGACTATTTAAGGTTGCCCCTTCTCCCGAATCAAATAAAGGTGTGATTAAGGTAATTCCTCACGGGCAGGTGCTCCATCTTGCTGAAAGAATAGATCGGCGAAGTTAGCTCTGGTTGTAAAACAAGTAGCCTAATTTTGGCCCACCCCATTTATATATATATATATATATATATATATATATATATATATATATATATAAAATATTAATGGTCAGAGTTGAATCATGCAAGTAAACAGTAGTATTAAAAATTGCTCAATACACATGTGAAAAAACAAAAGTAACACTAACATGGAGAGATTTAAACTTTAAAAGTAGGTCACTTGAATATGCTACCTTGATTTCAACCTTACTGCATTCCTCAGGCGATTTTTTCAGGCTTTTTTAATTTTCGCCTTCTTCTTCTTTCACATCCTCCACCTCCCTTTCTATTACATCCTTACGTCGTGAGTTTCTTTATTATTTTTTTAGATAATAATGTAACGTTCTTTAGTTTCTTTAAAAAAAAAGCGTTAGGTGGTCATTTGATAAAAATTACCTGAGGATACTATAACGTTGAAACCAAGGTAGCGGATTCTTGATTTTTAAAGCATACATGCATACATATATATATATATATATATATATATATATATATATATATATATATATATTATATATATATATATATATATAATTTTTAAAGCATATATATATATATATATATATATATAATTTTTTATATATATATATATATATATATATATATATATATATATATATATTAAAATAGCTGAAACACTAATATTTCATATGTCATAATTTATTCCACTGGAATCGTAAATACGATCCAATTCATCAGAGCTAAAAAGAGATTAAACCTTAACAGAGATAAGTTTTAGAGAGGTGAGTTGAAGAGGTTTAAGTGAGAGAAATATGAATGTTGTCGGATGTCTAATACATTAAAGATGTAACCGGAAAGGATACATTTCGTGGTGACATACACATAGAATCTTAAAGATCAGACGAAGAGGGAGGGAGAGGAAAAGAAAAAGGGGTGGGGGAGAGAGATGGGGTGGGTGAAACTAAAACTGAAGGGCATTTACTGAAAGGGCCGCTGTGTAATTAAGAAAATTTGACAACTTAATATCGACTACAGGTTACAAATCAAATATAAACATATAAAAAAATAAATATAACAATTTAACGAACGACTTATGTTCAAAAACACATGCATATACACAATAACATATACACGTACATACATATAGGCGTTTACATACACACATATATATATACCCATGCACTCACATATCCATATATATATATATAAATATATACATATAACGTCATCCACAGACAGACTGGTTCGCTGCTTATCAGCGAATTAATTTTTAGAAACACGCCCAGTGACCGACAGTGACTCAATTCGTATTTGCGCAGTCTCGCTATGTAGCTATAATAGTCACTGTTTACCAACCCAAATATATACATACATACATATACATATACGTATATTTATATATACATATAAATATAGAGAGAGACATAAACACATATACATATTCTCACATACATATATATATATACAAACACATACATACACACATACACATACATGTATACATATACATACAAAATACACAAATACATACATACATATAGACATACATCCATACACATCCACTCCTACATATATTTACACATTTACACACATATATACTTACGAACATACACATACGTGCACATAAACATATATACATAAAACTTTACATCTCCATACAATTACATACACACATCTAAATAAATAAACAATGTACGATTCCAATGGAATAAATTATGACCATGGAATATTAGTGTTTAAGCCTTTTTATTATATCCTTACTCTGTCCTGGACATTGAGTTCTACCTGGATTCTATCCTCTTGGAACTTTTTATTCAAAAAATATTCATGTATGTGTATGCACCTATGTATGTATATATATATATATATATATATATTTATATATTTTGCATATGTAAGTGTATATTTAATAATAATATTATATATATATATATATATATATATATATATATATATATATATATTTCGGGGGAAAAGGTTATACTTTTTCCAACGTGAGAAAAATATATATTGAAAAAACAAGAGAGAAACGGCAAACGTTTTGGATTATAATATGGATTTGTTTTAGTGCATATATTGCATTTTATTCTTCATATTTTTGCTACACGTGTTTCTTGTCTCGTTACTTTCTTCAGACAAATAGAAGGAATCAATTTTTAAAGGAATCAATTTTCCTTATGTTCTTTTAATATTTCATTGTTCGTTTTCCTGTAGTGAGCCTTGATCTCATTTTTGGACTGTTGGCAAAGGTGAATTTCAGCCTAAATGGTGTTTGGTCTGAGTGGTCGTGGTGACGATAGATGTGTTGATGAGAGGTGTTTTCCTATCCCTACATTACCCTTGAGACTGTCAAATCTATTTCCTTTTTTCTGTGTATCGTGTGTGTGTGTGCGTCCCTGTTTACTTGCACATGAATCCACCTTATAACAAAAAACGTTTGCGGTTTCCCTCTTTTTTGTTAATATATAGTCGACTCTCCCGTCGAATTCGACGTATGAGGGTCAAGCAGATCAGTGCCCAGGAAACCGACAGTCCGTCATCAGCACGAGATTTGATTATAGTGGTGAAGGTTTCGTGCAGGACCATCCATACTTTAAAAAAAAATTTTTTTTTTTAATTTTTAACTTTTAATTTTTATTTTTATTTTTATTATTATTTTTTTTTAAGGAGGCACGGTGGAGTAATGAATAGCGGCTTGGATTGAGAAATCGGAGATCCGAGTTCGAATTCCATTTGAATCCATTACATTCACTTACGTGCTAATACCCTTGGGAAAGGTGTGAATCCTCTTCTTCTCCCTCCAGATGGGTAAATAGCAGGACAGACTGGGTTCTATAGCCTTGGATGGCAACTGGTCTAGGAGAAGAACAACTCTGTATTCAAAACCTGCGGAGGGTCGTTTGGGGACTTTGTGGCACGTAGTGCACCAGGTCTCTGTATTCGGCTCTTCAAAAAGTATATATATATATATATATATATATGTGTGTGTGTGTGTGTGTGTGTGTGTGTGTGTGTGTGTGTGTAGACAGCCGGCAATGTAATTTTCGTAAAGACGAAATAGTACTTCCACAGAAGTGGAAATTTGCTGTAAATCATTGATTTGCGAAAATAAAATCTGACATCGTAAAATTTGATATGTCTCCATAACGCATATTCTTTTTAATATGATTTAATTGAGATTGAACAAACTTTCAACCTTTACGAAGAGATCTCTTCTCACATATTGCTACCTTAAATCACGGGTTTTATGCAACTTACCTCGCATCGACTGTGTTGAACTCGAATCATTGTCGACTTTTATGGCTCGTGAAATTATCAAGTAACTCAGCGATACAATATCAAATCTCAAGACGAGGAAAACAATTGTATTGCTTCTGCTAAGCAACAGATGTAAATACGAATTATCGTATATTTTTTTCTGTCTGTAATGAATCTATCTTCGCAAAGCATCTGTCTTGTGACTCTGAACAGTGCGAAATGCAGTCGTTATGTCTGCAATAAAACAGGACTAAATTTCAAAAGCCACAGATAGAAAAATTCTAAAATGTCTGCCATATCACGTTCCAACACCAGTTCTGGTAAGACCACCGATGTTAAGCAACGTCGAGCATAGTCAGTACCTTGATGGGTGACTGCTTGGGAATACCGGGTGGTGTAAGTTTGGATGTCCTGGTGGTATAAGGTACTTACGGTCATATCACGTTGAAACACAAGTTCTCGTAAGATCACCGATGTTAAGCAACGTCGATCCTGGTCACTACCTAGATGGGTAACCGCTTGCGAATACTGAGTGATGTAAGTTTGGATGTGCTGGTTGTATATGGACTTACGGCCATATCCCGTTGAAACACCAGTACTCGTAAGATCACCGATGTTAAGCAACGTTGTGCATGGTCAGTATCTAGATGGGTAACCGTATCGGAATACCGAGTGATGTAAGTTTGGATGTGCTGATAGTATAAGTAGCTTATGGCCATATCACATTGAAACACCAGTTCTCGTAAGATCAACGATGTTAAGCTACATAATGACTAGCCATTGCCTACATGGATGGCCACTTGGGAATATTCAGTGATTGGAGGATTAGATGTATTTCTGGGGTGTAATTAAAACGGCTCGGAATTGTTCATCGATGAACCGAGATCCGGTTCCAATCTGGCTCGTTACATTTACGTACACGCAAATATCCTTAGGTAAAGGCATGAAACCACCTCTTCCCCCTGCTATGGATTAATTAGTAAAACTTGTATCAGTAAATCGTTATTATTTCCAGCAAATTCTCACAATCTAGGAATATATTCTGGCTTTAATGACCTGCAAAGGATTGAAAAACCGTGTAAATACAAATCGATCCACCACTCTAATGGCGTTCACCAACCTGGGAAAATTATAAATTCTATTTCAGAAATTCATTCTGGAAGGATATTACACGTTATCCATTGTTTTCCACTATACAGCCTCTTTCCCAGAGACGAAACATCGCAAGCCTATCGCTATTTCAATGGGAAATAGTCTGGAGTGTTTTACCAGTTCAGACATTCGTTGATAAAACCATACCTGCCACGTAAAAATGGTCGAATTATTTTAATTCCGTTCGTACTCCATCCGTAAAGAAGTTACATTTTGACATTTCTTCGCAAAAAGCCGCTGCTTAATAGAACAGACTCACAAGAGGATGCTTATCTGGTAACTACGATTTTAACCACCTGAATTTGAAGGTCACCCATTATTTATTTCTCATATTATCATAATTTGCCCTTTTAAAGCCATCCTCTTGCATCAACAAGTCACCCTAATAGCTAGTTAAGCAAAACCGATGTTATGGAATCTATATGAATAAATGCGAACTGGGAGCACAATTATCCACCGAATTCTGAGGTTAAAAAAACCCTAACTCTACTTCATATTAATTTATTCGTTAAAAGCTCAATATTTATATATTATCTAATTCTAGGTAATATCACTCTGTAATCATTTATGAGTCTGGTTAGATCAGGAACCCAGTTTTTAAAGGGGCATTTGAACTCATAGATAATGTTCGTTCTTTGTAATTTTAACTTAGTTGTTGTGTTGTTATTTTTAAGGATAAGGTTGACTGTCTTAATTTTTTTTATAATAGAACATTTATTTGATTTTTTTTTTATTCGGGTCTATTGGGGTAGTGTATTTCTTTATATTATGTCTTAGTGAAGATTATAATTAAGGTGTATTTGTTCTTTTCAATAAATGTGTTTGTAATCTTTGACAGTGTATTCACTCTCGTTATTACTAACTTTAGGGAGAAAGTTAATAATGAGAACTTAATAATGTTAAACAAACACTAATCAACAACGGCTTCCCTGACCACCTTATAAAACACCAAATTAGACTATTTCTGTGTTCCTCATCAACCCGGACTCATAAATAATTACATCGGTTACACAACTACATGCTTATCTAGATGTCTTACGTTACACCTATCTGATAAACAGCTCCATTAGAACCCATTTAAACACACACACAAATTTACCAGACTCCATTAGAAACATACTAGTAGAAAACACAAATATATTAACTGCATCCACCTGGAAAAAAAGACTATAAATAATGGAAGCTTTAATAATGAAAAAGAAGAAAAAAAACAACTCTTAACAATATTAACTACGAACAAGGTCACAATGTGCTAACCGTATTCAGAAAATAAAACATCCCTACTACACACTAAAATATACACATAATGCATACACTCAATTAAGCTGAAAAATCGAATCATCCTTGATAATGAGTTAAGGTATAGCCGAAAGCACTCGGAAATATAAAACATCTGGACAGTTTTTACATACTCTTTGTCAAGAAAAGAAAGCTATTGTTCGAACACAAGAAAAATTAAATAAAATCTTAACTGTAGCACCTATTCTGTCTATTTTTTAATGAAACATGCATAAACGAAGGATTGTTGCCTAAATATACAACTATATATATATATATATATATATATATATATATATATATATATAGACCACTGATATTATTAATATTTATATATATAGAGAGATTTTCCAAGCTTGCTAGCAATTACACCACATCGAGGTGCCCAAATAGTGATTTTCTAAGCGTAGCTTAGATGTGGCACAAGGCCGAAAGTTGGTGGCACCCAGTGAGGATCGAACTCACTACTCAGTTGTAATTATTCTAGCGAGACAAGCTTGCTAAAAACTACACCGCCTAGAGGCGCCACAAATTTTTATATATATATATATGTGTGTGTGTGTGCGCGCGTGCGTGGGTGTATGTATGTATGTATGTAATTTTGACTAAATAGAACCGATAAGGCTCGTGTAATGAAAATTTCATTGTAATTTTTACAATTTTTGAATAAAGCGTTCAGTATTGTGAAGAAAATTGTGGATCAACACTCCGGCTTCTTGCTTGTCTGTTGTTTTATTCAAAAAATTTCGACAGTGCAGTTATTTTCAACAATCTATGTAATTCCTGCTTGGTAGCCAGAAATTTCTTTCTGGATTTTCTTTCTGTTATTATTTGGAAACACAAGGTTTAACGGTTAATACGAGTGAGGCCTCAACACAGAGTAATTTGTTATTACACACAAATATTTGTCTTATGATGATAGTTATACTTTCGTCTATATATGCACTAACTGTACTGATTTGCGACAGGTGACAGGTCAACCTACGTGTGAGGGTCATGCATATGTGCCCAATGAAAGAAATAATGGCTGCTTTTTTTTTATTATCATTAATATTGGATCTGTATTCACCCAAAATGAATAAGAATCCATAAACAACATTACTTTTACTAGGGAATATTTTCAGAAACATATTTTTTATAAAAATATTCGAACTGTACAAGGCTAAAGAGTCAATCGAGTTATAGGGTTACTCAATAAGAGGTAAGGGGTACAGTTTATGAGGATATAAGTGAAATGAAATAATCGTATTGAAGCTTCCGGCGCGAATGCCAAGCAGTACAGCATGCCGTTTCCAAATATCTGCTGGAATCAATTGCGTCATAGTGGTCTTTTTTCTCAAAGATGCTGTTCAACTCACCCTACTATACTGAGCAGTCGAAGCAAAAGGAATCAACGCGCATGCGCGAAATTTAAAATATAAAATGGCGACAATTTACACATTGAGCTCTTTATGTGTGTGTGTGTGCGTGTGCGTGTGAGCCTGTGTCAGTGTGTCTACCTGTGTGTTTGCGTGTGTACCCGTGTGTATGTGCGTGTGTGTAACTGTGTGCGTCTACCTGCGTATGTCCTAATGGTGGAAAAACAATGGTTTTATGCTGCAAACATTTATTTTTCAAAATTATTTCTTTATTATGAAATTTATCCGTGCAGGTCTTCTCCATTAATTACGATTGAATATTATGGATTAAATTTTCACCTCAATACACATCTGATAATATTTCAGTATGCGTAATTAATAATCCATCTTCATAAATTCGCATGTATATATATATATATATATATATATATATGTGGGGGTATATATGTGTGTGTGCATGGCGGAGGTTGTGTGCGTCGATAAGATTGTACATTACGTAGCGTAATAATTTAAAAGCCATTTATTATCAAAAACAATTATTTCTTTTTAGACAAAAAGACTTTCCGCGGTAATGCAATTAACTTAAGGTCTCTAAAGTAATGACATAATTCTAAAATTTATATTGAATATTTTAAATCATAATTCAAAATAACCAACACTTGTTAATACATAATTCTACCTATTTTAGATACATCCACACACACACACACACACATCTCTCTCTCTCTCTCTCTCTCTATATATATATATATATATATATATATATATATATATATTATTGAATTCTGAAACGTGGTGTTATTGATTGATTGGCCGAAGCTCACTCAGGGGCGATCAAACCGTTTACTATTCGCTCGAAAAGACAACCATCTTTTACTTATCGCTTGTGTTGATAGATTTTCATTTCTTTCTTAATTTTTACTTCTCTTTTTTTTTTCTTTTTTTACCATGATCTCATCTTTTGTGACTAATGAATACATTACTCAGAAAACTCAACCCGAGCGCAAAACGAAGAACGTGTAAAAGCGAAATAGAGTAAGGGAGGAACTCAGGGTAGCGCTGAATTTGAAAGACAAGAGAAATGGCGCGAAAATAGATTCAAGTATATTGTCCAGGCTAAAAACATCTTCTGATAAATGGCGGGTTTCCTTTTGGAAGAAATTAATTGCGATTTCGAAACGGAAACACGTACGTTCGTTTTCTGGTTTTGCGGATAGGTTCGGGATGGGCTTGTGTCAGGACTGCCACCAGAGCTGAATGATTTGAGGCTATGGCGTTTTCTAAGACAAAAACAGAAGCCATGTTCGAAGATTAATTGAAGATGTTGTTCGTAGGGAAGGAATGGGTCGATTGTCTAATAATTTCGTCCCGCATAAATGCAAACGCTTCTTCCGTTTATAAATGACAACATAGGCGAGAAAGAAAAAAGTTATTTTTTCCTCTTTATAAGAAATCATCGACGTTGTAAATTGTGAAAAGTTTGCATATGGCGACACGTATTTGAAGAACCATAAATAGATATAAAAGAAAAGGCGTTTTATTTGATTCACAGTCACTTGTGAACATATATATATATATATATATATATATATATATATATATATATATATAGTTTCAAGGTGTGCTTTATCATGAGACAAAGTGCTCAATATCAAAGATAGAGCGTATGTAAATATAAAAGTGAATATGGAAGTAAACACTCAAATGCGACAGACTGTTTCATGCAAAACGCAATTATCAGATATGGCCTGATTGAGTATACCAAGAAACAGTCTGTCGCCTCTGAGTGTTGACTTCTATGTTCATTCATATATATATATATATATATATATATATATATATATATATATATATAGTGAGCAAAAAAAATAATTTTAAAAGTTTTGGGTGCGG